CAATTTCCTCTTAGCACAAACATTGAAACACATATTTTTATATCAATATAGACACATAGCCGATTGGAAAAAGTCGTTGGTTCGATCAAAGAGTTGTGAATTCAATACCAGACCACAGCAGTTCTGAATCAAAAACAGTTGAGTTAAAAGGGAAATTATTGAGACACCCGGAAGAGGCATGGCACGTGAAACTAGAACAATCCACCTCGATGGGCGAAATAAAGGGTTCGTATCGAAATTCCAATAACCTGAAGAAAACCGGGGCGTACAACGACCGAAACGTTGTGAATATGTTAATGAGGATGAGGATAAAAGTCTGAATAATGTAAATAATGGAAGGAATCAATATAGATGTTACATACAACAACTGCTATATTCGTGCAAGTCAAGAATCAATCATTACCTATCCTTCCTATTCTAATAATGTTCACTACCTCTCATATACTTTTCATTGATATCTCACTAATCAATTATAATTATTATTTTATGAGTAATTCTCTATCTTTAGTGGTTCTTGAGTCTTGAAGTGGTTGCATTCCAGTTTAAAAAAATACATATTGACATGTAATAAAATTTATATCGAAATTAACTTAAATACAGTGTTAATTTCGAAATTTATCCGGATCGAAAAGCATCTGAGTTTTTTCATAAAATAAACAAAGATGAGGGTTGTATTAAAACTCACACACAAACAGCATACACACACATGCGCGCACACGTACACACACACACACACATATATATATATATATAGTATATCTCTCTCTCTCTCTCTCTCTCTCTATATATATATATCTATATATATATATATATATATATATATATATATAGAGAGAGAGAGAGAGAGAGAGAGAGAGAAAAGAAAAACAATTACATTCATATGACGAACAGACAACTTGACAGAAGACCTAAGACAAAAAAAATCCCGAACAAGGGAGGAGAAAAGAAACTAATATCAAAAGGCAAACACCTTTCTTTCTTTCTTTTTTTTCTTTCTTTTCTTTTTCTCTCTCTCTCTCTCTCTCTCTCTCTCTATATATATATATATATATATATATATATATATATATATATATATATGAAGTATCTCACATTGAGGGCAAACAAAACTCCGGTCAATCTATATTAACAGAGCTAAAACATCTATTTATCATCACTGCAGTTTGTTCTTCCATTGAGGAAACACACAACACACACACACACACACACACACACACACACACACACACACACACACACACATATATATATATATATATATATATATATATATAGCTTGTTAATTTTAACGACTCCTTTATTAATTATATTAAGGAAACTATTTGACTTCCAACGGCATGATTAATGCTAATCTGAAGTAGAGCAACTCACTGTGCATCCTTCGTCTAATATTTTCCACTGACACGGAGAGGGTTTATTACATTGAATCATTGCGAATTCTGCTCCTAGAAAAGTTGGTTCATTATGTCCTGCTAGGCAACCCTTCTCACCAGAATCAGTCTTAGACATTTATAAGTCTACAAGTCGACCGTGCCTCGAATATTGATGCCGCATTTCATTTGGTGCTTCTGTTCCATATCGAGAGATTCTTGTGAAACGCCAATGAAGAATTTTTAACGTCATAAGTCCTGAGCTGACTTCTCGATTTCTATCCATTCCCGCTGCCGTAACGTATCCTCCTTTTTCTTCTTGTATAAATATTTTTGCAGTAATTGTTCTAATGAGATTTCCTCGTTGGTTGGTACCTAGACTTCGCGAATTTAAGCTTAGTGCCAGATTGTCAGATAGGGGGTCATAATTTCATTCATGAAATTAATAGCTGCAACGGTAAGCTTAATGCTAACAGTTTCTTCGATCCTACCTCTCGTCTGTAGAACTCTCTTTCTACCTATTGGTTGGCTGCCAACTACGAAATTTAAATGCATAGTAATTCGCCATCTTTACTCTCAGTAACCCCATGCATCCTAGGGGCTTTTATTTATTGCCCTGCTTGGGGAGAATCAAATGATTGAGAGAATATATATATATATATATATATATATAGAGAGAGAGAGAGAGAGAGTTTATGCAAAACTAGGTAATCCGTATGGGTAGACCCAAGGAGGATGATATCTGGGGGGGCTCAATGTAAATTCAGAGCAAATATCTTTGAATAAAAAACAGACCACTTTAAGGTTCCATGTAATACATTATTTCACCACAGCCCTTTTAAAGAGCTCTGGATCACCAGACTTTACTTCCAAAGGTTGAAAAAAGAATTTTTTTAACTGATTTAAATGTTTTTTCGCTACACAGTAATAACCATGTTTAAAAAATGGAAGCTAAAAACTTTAAATTTAATTATATAATTAAATTAAAAGCGAATATTGGAATAACTTATTTGCTGAGTTTTAAACGTAGAAAACCTTGTAACTGTCCTCTACAAAATAAATGTCGCACGGAATCATTAGTATATCAATGCAATATCTCATCTAATGAGAATCCCGAAAACATGAAAATCTATATAGGTTGCACAAGCCATGAGTTCAAAAAGCGGTTCAATCAATTCATTTAGGATTGATAAATACAGAAATCAGACATCGCTTTCAAAGTATTTCTGGCACTTAAAAGAATCAAATAAAACACCTACAGTAAAATGGAAATTTATAAGAAAAGAATATCTAGGTCATTAAACGACCCATGTCCTTTGTGCATACATGAGAAACTATATATTACTAAGTTTATAAAAAATAAAAAAAAATATTGAATCAGTTATTGAAATAACTATTTTTTGCTGTCATTGTCAAAAATTTTCATTAAATAATATTTAAATGTAAAATTAAAAAAATGTGAGCTGGTATTATAAATACTTATATTTGATATGAAAAAATAATTTTAAATAATGTAAATAATTCTATTACATTTACTTGTTTTTTAAAAAAGGAATATAGTCTACTTAGTAATTAAGAGTAAAAATATTTTAAAATTGTGATTAAATAAAACGTATTCAAACGCAAACAAACCTATAAAGTATCTTCACGTATATAAGAAAAAACTGCCGAAAATCTTTTGTGGTTAATAAAAAAAACCCAGACGACATACATTTAACGGATGTCAGAATTCGTTGAAAAATACACCCCTACCCTCCCTAAACTTAAGCTCTTTTTCGAACGTAACTCATAATTGATACAACAATAGTTAATAAAAATGAACACGCTACCGCCCCTGTCCGAATGTATCCTTGGAAACAGTAAATTATGAATTTGTATGTGCGTTTTCAATCAGTTAATTTATAATATTTATGCTCGGTAAATTTACATTGAGCACTGTTTTGTAAAAATAAAAAATTATCAAAAGAACACCGGATTATATATCTTACTGTCCTTTACACACACACACACACACACACACACACACACACACATATATATATATATATATATATATATATATATATATATATATATATGGAATGGACAAAGTCCGACAATTATTTTAAGACATATTTATACGTTCTTTTTATAGATACAAATATTTAAATAAATGCTCTGTTTGTCCATTTCATAATGTGCGACATCATTTGTTTACATTTGGATACGCATCGAGCAGATATGAATGTATGAGAAAAAATCACGGAGAATTGTAGTTCAAAAACAGTAAAATCGACATAGCTGTCCGAGACGCTCCTCCATGGCACAATCGGTAAAAGCACGCCAGGCTATAGAACGGTTCCGCGTAGGAAAGGTTCGATTCCTGTCAGGACGCATATTTTCTATGATTTATTAAAGATAAATTAAATTTTCTGATTTCTTTAACCATGGAATATTGGAATATTTTGTTTGATTCTTTTTTTTTATTACATTCTTACTCTGTCCTGGACATTGAGTTCTACCTGGATTCGATCCTCTTGGAAATTTATATATATATATATATATATATATATATATATATTGACCACTAATATTATCTATCTATCTCTCTCTCTCTCTATCTATCTATATATATAGACCACTAATATTATATATATATATTTATGAAGCAGGTATAATATCCATCTCACGCACAGTGAATACTAGACCTGGTTTCTTTAATATTTCCCCTTTTTTAGCGAGATTGATGCTCGACAAGCATACACATAAAAATTTTAGAACCTAATAGAATTCTTTTCATTTTCTTTTTCATTTCAAAATAATCACAAACTTTTAGGAATACGTTTTGAAAGCGTCGCCCATGTGACGACGGCGTGACCATGTTAGACGGAAAGCTGATCGTTTTAAAAATTTTCAGTTATCTGTTTTGGATAAGACTTGTGTTTTTTATGTCCATCATATTCAACTGTATTGTATTTTAATGAATATTGTCTTGAAAAAGGTTTATTAAACCGAAACGTCAGACGTCGACATTTCATTCATTTTAAACAACATTTAAGGATTTTGTTTGTTTTTTCAAAATTTTCTTCATTCTGTCGGATTTATATCCATTATATATATATATATATATATATATATATATATATATATATATATATATATTCTAAGATTTACTAATACATATGTACATGGTACTAGTTGTATGAAGATTGGTTTGATCGTCATGTAACGGAAGAGAGCTTCTGGTTATGGGGACAGTTATGTCCACAGAAGTATGGCAACAAGTTTGAGTGCATTCTATGGAAGAATTATAGCTTCCATTTTTATTGAATACGCTCACTAGTGGAATTCTTTAGTTACTTTCGCTGTTTTCCTTTCGGGAGGAATTTAGCACAATGACCATTCATCAAGTTATCACAGTCTCTCATTCACACCGTCTACTGATCTGCTGTTCATTTTCCCCGACACGCGAAGTGATTATAAAGAGAGTCATACAATGAGACCTTTCGTATTTTAATACATAATTTCGTGAGAAAATCTCCCACATATTTTTGCCGGCTCTTTCTTCAACTTGGGAATTGGATGGCTTGAAATCGGCACCATTTCAATCAGCCACTTTCTTTGGCTGACAGAGTTGCCTTTCTTTGACAGACAGACTCGCCTTCTTGTCTTGCTGCATTATTCCACTCTTCTCTCTCTCTCTCTCTCTCTCTCTCTATCGTACTATCTTTTTCGCTTTCTTCTCTGCTTTTGTCGATGTGTGGCTGGTGCAATGGATAACTGCTCGTAATGCGAAATCGGAGAACGAATTTCAATTCGTTATGTTCACGTGCGCACAGGAAGCTATAAATCCATCCCTTTCCCGCAGCTATGGATTAAATAATAGCTTTTTTGTCTGAAAAAAAAATCACTGTAATTCTCAAAATAATTGGTAAGGCAATATTGACTTGAAATGAAATTTTTACAATCCGAAATATATATTGATAACTCGTAAAAAACATATCAATCACCCACTTCTTTTGCTTACGTCAATTTCTTGTCTAATGAGATTCCGAGATTCGGCAATTGTTGTGGATCTATTTCCAGAGACATGGCGAAAAAATCTGGCTTTCTCACGATTTTTCGCCCGTTATTACGCTATGATTCTAATGACATGTGAAGTTCTGATTTATTGCCTTCAGTTAAACATGTCCAATCCTTCTAACTTTCTGCTCCTTGCCCAAGAAAAAAAAAACCGATACGAAATTTCTTTCATCAAAATCATCTTAAGGCAGATTCGCAAAAAAATAATCTAGATTTATACAGAATAGTATGTGCACCAGACCGTGGGTATACGTGTTGTTAAATTAGGAACACGTGTGTAACTCCTCATATAATATTAAAAGGTCCACTATAAGAACATGGCGGATTCAAGTTGAGTCCAACCGAAGATGCAAACAAAACAAACAAGACCGATATATATATATGTCAACAAATATATGTATTAAACAACAAAATTTACAATGGACACAGGCATTAACATTTGTGTTTGTGTGTGAACGGAAACAGTTTGTATTTTGGTGAATGTTCGTGCTTACGTATATGTGTGTATAATATTCATGGCGTCTCCCACAAAAGGAAGACGCAATCTTCTGCGAGAGCTTACATTGTAGATGTGTACGCTGAAAATGTAGAAATGCAAAAAAGAACGGGGCAAGAAATCGCCCAGTATTTAGAGTGTAGGGAGAGCGTCCCCTAGTGAACAATTTGGACAATTAAGGAGGAGTTAACTCCGACACATATTCCTGCAACTGGCCGAATTCTCTTCTGAGGAGATATTGATCCGGTGAATGTTTGATTTTAGCAATAGAAAAAAGCCCAAGCTGCATGCTATAAATTAGAGTTATGAAATTTTTTAAAAAAAGTATTTACATTGTTCGGATTGTTGTCCGCATCTTTCTTACGATATTCACGACATTTCGACCGTTGCACTCTTCGGCTTTATTCCGGTGATTGAAATTTTGAAACGATCACTTTATTTCGCCTCAGTAACCTTTTTTTTTTTTTTAACAGAGATCATGTTACAATTTGTTGTTAATATTTTTTCTCTAGCAGCCCGTATTATTGGTTCCAATATTGTATTAATGTCAATTCTTGGCTGGCTTAGGAGATTTTTATGGTCTAGCATGTGGCACGCCAAGAAATTTTCAATGGCACGCAGCCGCAAATGACATGACGAAGTCCAAACCAATAATTACTACAACGCAAAGAACATATTTAGCTGTTTCAATTTTATTATATAGATATATTGTAGAATAGGTATATTGACCTTGACTTGTATAAAAATACATATGCTGTTGGCACACTGAATGATTTTAAAACCCTAAGTTGGCCCATAGTTAGCAAAAGGTTGCCGACCCTTGGTCTAGCGTATACGCTGATACCTTAAGATTTTGTATTTTCCAGTGATGTTCTCAGTCTATTATTTCAACCTTATCCAATGGGGTCGGGGAGGTGATCTCACTTTTCCCTCCATATCTGGTCAGCCAAGTCATAAGTTTAAAGTACAGAAGTTTAAATAAAGAATTGTTATCATTTTTAATCTGTTTCATTATTACATCCGGCTGCAGTGACAAAATTAACCTGGCCACTGCTCTCGAAAAGAACTTCCAATAAGTTGTTAACTGGGTCAGGATATGGTTTCTAAATTTTAATGTCTGCAAAAGGAAACTGCTCTAAATTAAACAACAGAATATCTTCCATTCTCACCATCAGCATGGGTGATGTCCGACTTAATGAGAGCTGTTCACTGTGCCTTCTTGGCATCAAGTTTTCAACTGACTTGAGGTGGAAGAACGAGATTGAATAAATAGTTGCATCTACTGCAAGGAAAGTTGGTTAACTCTGACGTACCAGAAGGTTTTTCCCATTCACAGGTTGTATCGAATTTTCGAATTTTGATACTGTCATCTGCTTGGTATTTTTATTAGTGCTATCGGATCTTCTGCGATCAATTATATTTATTCGTAATTGAATTTGGGTCTGCTCACTCGTGGTTACTTTAAAATTCAATCATGAAATTAAGGAATTGTTACCATTTTTAGTCTGTTTCAATAGTATGTCTGGCAGCACTGACAAAATTAACCTGGCTGCTGTTCTCGAAAATGACCTCCAATCAGTGGTTAACTGGAGCAGGATATGGCTTCTAAATTTTAATGCCTTCAAAACGAAACAGCTCTAAATTAAGCCATCACAGAAAAACTTCCCTGCTCACCATCAGCATGGTTGATGCACGACTTTGTGAGAGCGTTTCACTGTGCCTTGAGGCAGAAGAACTATATTGAATCAATAGTTTCATCTACTGCAAGGAAAGTTGGTTAACTCTGACGTACCATACCACTTCTATGTGCATTGAATACTGTTGCTATATCTGGTCTGCTGTCCCTGCTGTTAATCTTGAAGCCCTCGGAAAAATCCAGAGAAGTATCTGCAATATAATCGATCCTGATCTGGCATCTCGGCTTCAGTCACTTTCTCACAGACGTCATGTGCCTCGACTACATAAATTTAAGCGTGCTACTAGGTTGGCATCTAGGTTCCACCCTTTTATTGTTGAAATAGGAAAAATATAAACGCCACTTCTACTCCAACAGTTTCTTTTCTCTCACGTCCCGACAGATGAACTCCCTTCCGCTTACTTGTTTCCCTGATATTTTTTTTTAAGCGTTTCACCCCAAGCAAGGCGGGAAGCCACTAGGACGCAAGGGGTAACAGAAAATTTGGAGTAAGATCAGATAGGAGTGATAGAAGAAAGGATGAAGAGAAGGGTAGTGGATAGATCAAGGCAACTAGAGATGTCGATTGACATTACATTTGAATAGATGGAGATTATAACTACCAGGGAAACTGTAATAGGGAAGGGAGTTCCACAGGCGAGAGGTGCGAGACATGAAGCTATTGGAGTAGAAGAGACGGCTACATTTAAAAGTTCCGACAGTGAAGGGGTGAGAGCAGGATGCCAGCCTCGTAGGGCGCTTGAACTCATGAAGTCTGGGAACCAGCGAATGCAGCTCCTCGGAGCAATTGCCATGAAAATATTTGTAAAAAAGACAGAGAGAGGTGACGGAGCGTCTGTGAGAAAGTGACTGTAGACGAGATGCCAGATCAGGGCCAATTATATTGTATATCCGCCTCTGGAGCCTATCAAGAACACCGAGGCAAACAGAAGGGGCTCCAGACTATATATGGCAGCAATACTCCATGCAAGGGCAATTTTCAAGCATTTAAATACATACTCTGATGCCTTGATCCTCGTTCATCGTATATCTTTCCCTCAGTCCTCCCTATACGCTGTTTTTTTTTCTCTCATTTTCAATCTCTGTAAATCCCTGGATACTAGTGGTACTCCCGACTTGCTTGGAACGAAATCCATAAGAAAAGAGCTTTTTAATCAATACACACAAATCAAGGCGATAATGCCACAAAAACGAAAGGATTTACTAGAAATGAAAGAGAAAGACAAAACTTTGAAAAGAACGGAAAAACCCAACCCTAAACAGTAAACAAGCGGTAAACCGGTTCTAACAAATATTGTGTTGGGAATTTTACTAACAGGAGGACATCAACACATCATACTACGCCGACAAAGATGATATAAAGAGCTCGAATAGACGCAGGAATTTTGGACGTTTTTCCCCCAGAAATCTCGATGCGGATATATGACATTTTATTTGTAAAATGAAAAAAAAAATAACTGAAAGAGAAATTAAATATATTTATTTTTTCCGTCGAATTAAATAACAAATTTAGGTATATACTAGCAGCATGGCCTGGCGTTGCCCGTGCTTGATTCAAAAATCGTACGACACATACAGTAATCGTTATCACTTGACTTAAAATATGTTTGCCCTTCCTTGCCTTTAAAAGAGTGCCCTTTGCCGTGCGGATGTTGCTACATGCCTTACTTCTTGCCTTTCTCACACTGCGAATTTTTTTCTAAGCTCTATAGTAAACATTAAATCTGTTACGAAAAAAGAACTAAACAAAATGAACACAAAACGATCAGCTTTAAAAAAAAGGACACGTAACTGGAAAAACCGAATGAAAAAAGAATGTTAACAACAAATACTTTTTCACACCCAACCCACTTCTGCGGAATCAGAATTAACGTTGAGTTTAAACAAGCGAATGAGCCAATTGGAGTAAAGTGCCATGCAGATTTTAATTTTTCCCACTTGTGACGAATGCAGCTATCGATTTTTTTTGCATGCTAGAATGCTAGTTAACATTTGTGTCAGTCAGCTGTTGGCTCTCACGCTGGCCAATAGAATCTTCCTGCTTGTTTGTGGCTCACTCTGGCCAATACAAAATGGCCGTGAACTACTTGAAAACTGCCGTAGAAGCATGAAAAAATTGATTATTTCCACTATCGATGGGAGTTGGGAAATGCAAAGTCGGTCTTGGCCTTTCCGCTAACTTGGAGCATGGACATGTAAATTTTGGTGCAAATCAGTCGAAAATTGCAGCCGTGCATTCGTTACACAAACACACACACACATCCTGCCTTTTATATGCCTATATATATATATATATATATATATATATATATATATAGAGAGAGAGAGAGAGAGAGAGAGAGAGAAAGAGATTGTGCAGTATATATATATGTTATACCATAAAGAGGTAATTATACATAGAATTAATTTGCAAGGTTAATGTAATTAATGACGAAATCTCTTCGCTAACAAGATTCAGTAATGGATTGAATTACTAACAATTCATTGAATAAAGCGATCCTCATCTTTAAATTATCACTTGTAATATTTAAAAAAAATAACTCTATATTTGCGACATCGGACGTTCCCAAATTCTATAACTGTCAATAAATAACATATTTTTAAAAAATATCTTTCGGCCTTCGCTGCATTTATTTCATCTTGAAGTTTACCTGGAATGGAAAGAAATTACGCCCTGAGGATAAAAATGTGAAATCTTCGAAAATATTCGGGCTAGCAACATCAAATCTGACAACAATTTAAACATATGGATAGTTTTGTTCAATATATACATATATATATATATATATATATATATATATATATATATATATATATATATATATACGTGTATATATATATATATATATACACTTATGTTTATAAGCTTCTTTTCTTTAAATCTCAAAGAAACACAAATGTTTATTTAATCCATCTTAATCCTGATTTAATCTAGAGTTATTTTTTTTAAAATAAAAGTAAGAATGTTATGATTCAAGACAAGCTTATATGTAAAAAGTGAGAATTTTAAGATAAGAAAGTATAAAAACAGGCAAAATTTAACAAATCTACCCACAAAAAAACTCCGCATCAAAAGACTTTTTTCTCTTTACGCAGCTATAACTATACACGCTCTCTACAAAGTTTATTGTTTTATAAATCTATTTTTCGAATTTTGTAAAACTGAAACATGTGAAACTGGATTTATATACTTTTTTTTGTATCGGCCCTCAACTTATTTTAGTGAATTTACGTGGCGAAAGCAAATGAAAGAAAAACACGGAAAACACTTTTTTTTCTAATACATACAATTACTCTAAGTTAGGTTGCGATTTGAAGTTTTTGTGTTCTGTTGCTTACAGTGTTTTTTTTTTATTCTAAATTTATTAATAAAAAATGTATTCATAGTCATTTCTTTTAAAATGGTAAATAATAAGAGATCACCATATGGCCAGCTATCCACAGGCAAACGCTCACTCGGTGGAAAAAAGAAACGTTACAAAGACACTCTGAAGGAATCTCTCAAGCATTGTGGCATTCCTCATTCTACCTTGGAAGAGTCTGCTGAGGACTGTGCCGTCTGGCGCTCCTGTGTAATTTCCGGAGTGTCTGATTTTGAAGAGAAAAGAATCAGGGACAAAGAACCAACACCAGAAAAGGGAAGATTCCGCCTGCCGACTTGGTTCGGCCCCCAGCATCCATTGTCACATTTGCAAAAGATCTTTCAGGGGGAAGATCGTACTCAGTAGTCATTTAATCAACCACCCCGCCCCAGTCCCTCTAGTGATTCTAAGTCAAGAAACGATAGATTATAATTGCTTCACGTATAGTCTTGTAAATACAAAAGTATTCTTGTAAGTAAGCAATCTAATAAATAGTGTTTAACATATTTGTTGTCACTTCTCGAGAGAAAAAAAAGAAAAGCGTAAATCCTGCTTCATACGCTTTTGATTATTAAAATTCGAAAAATAGCATTATAATACAATTGAAATTGCCGCGTGTATATATAATAATAACGCTGTCAAGAGTAAAACCGTCCTTTTGACAAAGAGTTCTTTTTGCTGTTTTCTTTTTTGCGGGTAGGTTTCTTAAATTTTGCCGAAAAGGCATCAATATCTCTTAACCCGGCTGACCATTCTTGACAAGCTTCAAATAAGGACAGCTTTCAATTTTCATTACAGTCTTAGGTGCTGGCATGGTAAAGTTTTCATGCCGTAAACACATACTCACACACACGTAAACCAACATGTAGATTACAGAAACCGTAGTGACAGAGCCGCCAACCTGGGACAATCCCTATCAAACCAAAACGCATAATCTGTCCAGTCTTAACAAATCTCCTGAATCTGCTGTTTCTTCCAAACGTTGGATGAAAAAAGAACGTCGGGAAACTTGATTGATTGTATCTAATAAAAGACGAGTTCCATTCTTTCGTTCCAGAATTTCAGGCTTTTACAATTAAAACATGCGATGCTATTTCCACATAGTCGGAACATTTTTAATGTCCTAATTATTCTAAACGCAAGAAAAAAATTCCCCTCAGCTTTTTTTTCTTCCCAAGAACTAACACATTGGATAACAGACTCCCACTTGGGTGCTTCACGGAACACTACAACTATAACTTCTTCAAGTAACAATCATTATCTTCACTTCTTACCAACCCCCCTCTTTCACTGAATTTTGACAGCAACCCTCTATCTTGAAAGTCTCTCTAACACGAATTCTAGTATTTAAAAAATCTGTGAATTCACACGAACCGTCTGAAAAGAATTGTACTTGGATAATCTTTACACTTGTGACAAAGAATATAAAGGTGAAACAAGCCGTCCCGTAAGATGAGAGGAACATCGAAAAACCGTATTGAGGGGTGAGACAATGAAATCGGACATAGCTGATCATCTATGGAGGGTAAGGTGTAGTCATCAGTTCATGTGAAATTAATTGAAAGTATGGGACAAGGAAGAATACTAAAGAGTTAGATATCGGAAAGAACCAAAAATGTTGATGAAAGAAAGGATCATAAAAATCATAATAATGATAATGCTTTATCTCTATACTTAGATAATTTTAACACTACGGTGTTTTACCACTACTACTACTACTACTACTACTACTACTCAAAAAGAATTCGGCGTAAGAATTCTAATTAAAAAATCATAGTAATGTCAAGTAAGGGTGGGGGCGGTGGAGTAATGGATTTCAACTCGGAGGGAGCAATCGGAGAGCCAAGTTCGAATTCCTTGGGAAAGGTATGAATCTTCTTCTTTCGCCAGCTATTGAAAATAGCACGACAGACCGGGTTCTATAGAAATGGCAACCTTTTGCGGGAAAAATATCTGCCTCGTCAGTCATGTATCGAAAGGTATACGATCGCCTAAGCGTGTATCACGCACGTCACATAACTGACTGAGTAATGGCAACGATTCATCTAAGAAATTCAGATAACTTTTAAACCAGAACAGCTCTCTTTTAAAATCTTTTATCTTTTACAGTCGGAAAAAATGTCGTTAATTTCTGTGAACCAATTCTTTTTAGAGAGGAAGAGAAATACAGACATCTTAAAAGCAGAAGTAATTTTGTTTCTGACTTTCCTGTTGGAACGGAGTTTGTTACGATCACTGAATTCATATTAGGGGCTATTTGAAGTGTGGGGAGAGCGAGAGTGGATTAGCTTCATTAGCCACGGAAAAGCTTAATGAGACTTCATCAAGATAGGCTGCCGGCACTAATCGCCATGATTCTAGTGAATACACTTCTTCGATGTCGTCAAACACGCCATCAGCTTTTATCTTCCACTTACTCCTTGCTCATCATCGCCATTATCTCGCTCTTCTTTTTCAACAAGTTTTCATTCTCATCTCTTATTTAGTACTCAGCCCGCTCCTAGTTTTTACTTTTCTTTCTCATCTGCTTCATCCATTACTCCTACTTTTTCTCCTCCCTCCATTCTTCTCATTATTTATTGTCTCGCCTTCTTCTTCTTCTTCTTCTTCTTCTTCTTCTTCTTCTTCTTCTTCTTCTTCTACCTCCTATTTTTTTCATAGTCTTCTACTTCTTCCCCTTCCTGATATTTCATTTTACGTCAGCTTACATCTTTTCATTCTTCTTCTTCTTCTTCTTCTTCTTCTTCTTCTTCTTCTTCTTCTTCTTAAGTTTTCATTATTCGTCTTTTTCCCCTCTTTTTATCCTTCCTCCTACTTTCTCAATCTTCGTCTTCTTTTTTTTATTCTTTCTCCTACTTCTTCATTCATCTTATCTTCTTTTTCTTTTCTTTTTTACTGATCATTCTACCTTTCGATTCTTCTTCTTCTTCCTCTTCTTCTTCTTCTTTTTCTTCTTCTTCGTATTATTATTATTATTATTCTCTTTTTATTCTTCCTCCTGCTTATTAATTCTTCTTTTTCTTTTCTTTTTTACTGATCATTTTACCTTTATATTCTTCTTCTTCTTCCTCTTCTTCTTCTTCTTCTTCTTCCTCTTCTTCTTCTTCTTCTTCTTCTTATTATTATTCTTATTATTATTATTATTCTCTTTTTATTCTTCCTCCTGCTTATTAATTCTTCTTTTTCTTCTCTTTTTCTTCTTCCTCCTACTTTTTCATTGTTCTTCTTTTCTCCCTTTTTGTTCTTCTTCCAATTTTTTCTTCTTTTTTTACTCTTCATCCTCCTTTTTCATTCTTCTTATTATTATTCTTGTCTTTTGTACTTCCTCCTACATTCCATTCATTTTCTACTTCTTCCAACTGCTTTTCTTTTTATTCTTTTTATTCTTCTTATAACTTTCACTCTTCTTCCTCTTCTTCCTCTTCTTCTTCTTCCTCTTCTTTTTCTTCTTTTTCATGTATGTTCTTTTCATTCGATGTTTTTATACATTGTCTTCATATTCTTCCTCTTGATCACCTTCATTTTTCTTCTTTTCCAATTTTCTTCTTATTATTCATACTTTTTTCATTCTTCGCCTTGTTCTTCTTCCATACCTTTCATTTTCCTTCTTCTTCATAAAGTCTACTTTTATCTTTGTCACTTCTTTCCCCTCTTACTCTTATTATTCATTTTATTGGCATTCCTCCTCTCTTTTGCACTTTCTTGTTTTCTCCCCTTTCCTCAACTTTTCTTTCCTCTTCACTTCTTGTCTTCATTCTTTTTACACCGGTTTTCATCACTATTCGTTTCCTTCGACCTTTTTTTTTTATTTTTATTTCTTCTTTTTCCTTTTCCTACTTTTCTTCTTTCCATTTATCACATTATAAAGTATTTTTTCCTCCGGCATCCACAGCTCTTTCTCTTTTACTCGATTCTACTTCTTCTTTTTTTATATTCTTCCTTTTTCATAACTCTTTTATATTTTTCCCTCTCCCAGCGCCAATATGTCTCACATTCAGTCCTTCTACCAGCCGT